ACCTATCCACGTCATCATTTACCCAGAATGCTTTGTGTGTAAATAAAATGGCTCTGTCCATGTTAAAATATATTTTTTAAAATTATAAAAACAGCCAACAGTATTTTTAGTCTTTATTTTACAGTTAAAATATATGTTTATCAAATAAAAATCTAATGTTACAACTAATCCTGGATCCCTTTAAGCGACCCTTCTCAGACAAATGCCTCTATGTCTTCAACTGAAAAGGCCCCACTGTTCTGATGAACCAGAGCAGAACCACAGAACGTGGACCTGAACCGGTGAAACACCAGGACCAGATGGAGACCTGTTCCGACTCGTCATCGTGTCATCACTGAAGGGACAGGAAGGAGAGCGAGTGCCCTCAGAGTAAACAAATAAACCTGACTGATGTCATCTACGACATGCAAACACTGTCACATCAGACATTTGACAAACAAAAAAACATCTCCACCACGCCCCACGATGGGTTTTTAAACATTTAAATTAATGGAAGGGTCTAAAGGTTAAAGTAACTAACATTTCCAACTATAATAATTAAACTGCAGGTTTAGGTTACAAATTAACTTAAAAGTATTTATTCATATATATTGCAATCATTTTTTGAGCTTAAAAAGCATTAAAAATCTAATTATCAATAACCTGTGTATAATATTACCCACTCCCCCCACTTTATGGGTGATTTTTAGGGTTAAATTTCTAGTATTATACATAAATAAATACAGTAAGTACATTCCAACTGCCTAAAGTGGAAAACAAAAACAAATATTTATAATTTTTACAAAATGTCMAACATAAATGGGCACAACAAACACTAATATTTATATTACACAACAAAAACACAGATCTTTAATCAGCAGCTCCAGGACAAAGTGAGGTTSTGTCATCACTTCCTGTYTGTGCACCTGGACCAGCTCTTCAGGTATTTATTATTGCAGGAGTCAAAAACACAGCTTCAGTTCTCCACATGAGTTAACGACACCCACAGCAGTTCTTTCTGAACATGTTCAAAACTTAGTGTGAAAATAAACATTAAATTATTTAAATATGTCACCTTCTGACAGCCAGACCTCCCAGCAGCTTGTAGCGCAGAGACTCAGCCTGAGCGATGGCACAAAGACCACGCGTGGCCACCTTTTCAGCATACAACTAAAACACAGATACATTTATTATTGTTTACTACGGAACATGTGTGAGGAGTCTGAATCAAAGTTTGTTTGTTTGATTTTACTTAATTCAACATCAAACTACAAATCAGARCCCAAGCTGTCTTTAGACCCACACCTGAAGTAAAGACTGATAATAAAAATGCACATTTGCAACATTTTTCTACCCTTCTCAGACAAATGCCTCGGTGTCTTCAGGTTCAATAGACTTCCTGACCCGAGGAACCAGGGCAGAACCATAAAACATGGTTCTGAACCAGCAACCTTCAGGGCCAGGTTTAGTCCTGTTCCGTCTCGTCATCTGATCATCACTGAAGGGAATCTGAGCTCAGGGATTAACATCCAGTCTGATCCGTACAAAATAAAACTACTTCTGACATGAAGTGAGTAACTGGTTACAGAAAGGACTAGTTCTGGTTAAATAAAGTGAAATAGTTTTAATTAATCACTGATTTAGTTCTCCCTGATGTAAAAACACAAAGCAGGATCAAAGAGCACTCGTCTTACCTCCACGCTGCCCTCAGGGAACCCAAACCTCTTCTGAACCACAGCGGTCAGCTCTCTGATCCGACGGCCCTTCTCTCCCAGAACATTCTGGGTTCTGCAGAAGACAGAAACATTTTGGGTTACACCCACAGTGGTCCAGAACATCCAGAATAACAGTTCTGTCAAGGCTCATTCCTATCTGTTGTCAAAACAGCACTAAAGTTTAACAACTCCTGCAGCAGGATCAGAAAATATTAACTTAAGAAACTAAACTGTGTTTCAGCTCGAGCAGCAGTTTGTTGGAGGTTCACATCGTCTACCTTTCACCAGCTTCAAGTGCCGGTGACATCATGCCTATCCATCGAATACACAAAGTCAAAGAAAACACGTTTATATAGAAGAAACCTTGAATAAAACAGGATTTTTACCCATTTGGTCACATAAATGGCATATTTTCTTTTGAACTTGGATCAGCCAAGGTAAAACAGGAAGTGACATCAAAGGGGAACTATTTAAGAAATAACTCTCTAGTCTTTGTTTATTGAAATTATATTATTTGAACACTTGGCTCGTTTTCAACTCTTTCAGASACTCAATATAATCTAAAGAAACATCAAGATTCTTCTCTACAGTCTGTGTTGTTAACCATATAATCAATGCACATTCCCTTTTGACATCACTTCCTGTTACTTCAAATGCAAATATCTCAACTGTTCATCTCAGCAGTGTGAAATTATTTTTGCAATATGTTAATGTTATCTTTCCAAAAATGCCTTTGTGTTAAAAAAATTCATGTCACAGGCACTTTAAATTATAAACATCTGAGTTAGTAGGAAAAACAACCATTAAAGACTGTTTTAATGGTCCATTTTAAACAAGCCCAGACTAATCATGTGATTTCTGTCAAACTTTAAAGAGATATAAGTACTAACTGCTGCTCTTATACGTTGAAACAAACACTCAGCTTCTAACTGGCAAAATTACTTGTTTAGTTCTGCTCAAAAGGATTTTATATTTTACAGCAACAAACACCCTGCTGTGTCGATGAKCTGCACCAGTCAGGACTGCTGCAGRTTTTAAAAGATYTCACACAAAAACAAACAGAAGCACCAACAGTTGCTGGTGTTTGTGTGTGACCGAGCCGACGTCTTTCTGCCATCAGCGCGGAGCAGTTTTAGTCGCGACACATCCACCGGCCGTCCTCACCTCGTGGCCAGGATGATGATTTCTGTCCTGGTCGGGGTCACGCGCACCTCCACACCCGAGTATCCATCCTCAGCAAGCTCACGAGTCAGGAACTCGTTCAGCTCGGCCTTGAAGATACCGTCCGCGACAAACTGAAGGGACAAACAGATTTATTACGTTTACAATCATGGYAACAAACAAAAGAATAATGGCTTTACCCTCAGGAGAAAAACTGAAAACCACATTTACAAAGCTTTTCAAATCATACTCAGACAACTGAAGCTATTAAGAACTATAAATGTTAAACTAGCTGAGCAGCTTGTGTTGTTTATTTTTTTACTTGTAGACAGTCATGTTAGTTTACCCTGATTAACTCCAACTAAATTATAAATATATGAAACATTAAAGTGGATATTGATTGTTTTGGTTAAACAATGATGCAGTGACATCAGTAATTGTCAGTCATAGAAACTAAATTAACCTGCTGAACCCTAAATAACACAGAGGGTAATAATAAACCCATAAACATCACTTTAAACACTTTAACAGCTAAAATAAATTAAAGCTGGGCTCTTCTGCAGCTTTGAATTCACAGACCCACCGGTAGTTTTTTCTCATTATAACTAAAACGTGATTTGTTACGAGGCTTGACCCGGTTTGTGGAGCTAGCTCAACTATTTCGGAACATTTGGACAGATTTTAGTTCTGGGCCTGACGTTTTAAACCTMAAATCGGAGCTCGGGTTGGTTGAACTGCTCTTCCTGCGGACACAGAGCCATGTTAGCTTAAATATAAATGAGGACGCGGCGCMGCCAGAATCTGGGTCAATCCTCTCCGAACCGGAGCAGGACGGCCCCAGCCGACACCGGTACAATCCCGGTACACCTTCGTTACGCTCAGGATGGTGATATTTTGACAGAAACCCGCTGTCCGTAAGAGGAAAAGTGCGATAAAGCGCCGCTAACCTTCCTCTTCTTGGAGATTTGCACCGCCATCTTCCAAAAGGCCGTAGACAGGAAAGGACCCGGGAAGGACACGGAAATGCTTTTATACCAAACAGGCAAACTTCCGGTGACGTTGTCTCTAAGCTCACGCAGGGAAATGTAGTTTTTGATGCTAAATGTTTTCTGCCTTTGTTTTAGATTCATTTGTGTTGAAATATATAACAATTTTACAGTTTATTAAATAAAAAAAACACCTCAAGCTTCTGACTATATACATATAATCTTATTACATTCTCTGCGTTTTTGGTATCATTTGCAATTTCAATTTTGTCTTATTTTTGTAATATTTAATATTTTCTATAATTTTATAATTTTGCTTTTTTTATTGTCGACTCTTTAAAGTGTCAGTGGTGAAATTTCTATGTTTATTTTATGTTATACTTACCATAGAATACATATACTCTACACTAAATAAGTCCATTGCTGCTGCTCAGTGAGACTGACTCATGTTGCTCTTACTTGTGCAATAACCTAAACTGTGCAGTATATGCTATCTGCAATAYACATATTCTGAAATACATTTCTGTCATAACCACTACTATCATCGGTGAAGTACAGTACTATATGTATTTGTTATTCACCCTGCCTGCACTATTCTGTTATTTATGTTGCCCCAATTTTTTTTTTGCTATTTTGTTGTTATTTGCTGTTCAACATTTTCACTTTACGTTGTATATATTATCCTTACTTTTTTATTTATTTACATTTTACTCTTTGTGCATCTACTGCAAACTGTGAATTTCGTATTTCATATTGTCTATCTTTTATTTTCTTCTTTATATATATGTATACATAAATACATAGAGTGAGTCGAACGGTTACTTCTCATAATAAGAATTTCATTGCATTGTTGAATTTTGTTTGTATAATAAAGTTTATTAAAAAATAATAAAAGAAAAAAAAAGGCCTCTATGGTATTTACTGACTGCCTCCCTCTAGTGGCATGACAGAGAAACAACCTCACAACTAGAAATACAAGGAACTTAAAATAATAACAATAATAATAATAATAACACATCTACACAGTAAAATTCACTCTTTTTTGTTTTGTTGAGGTTTRTGAGTGTCTGAAGGGCCACACAGAGACTTCTGGGCAATGTTCAGTAGAACCTGCAGGTTTTTCGACTCTATTAATAAAAGAAAAACCTGAAGAAACCTTACTGCTGTGAGACAACAACTGTTACAAGATAATGTTTGTAATGATTTAAGTGATGCTGGATACAAACAGGCCACTAAAATAAGTGTAAAAATGTTTATAATCAGTTTAATTCACCTCTTAATTCTTTATTTCACCAGTGGGCAAAAAGAGTGAGAGTTCTGCCTTTAAACATTTCCTAGCATTTCCAGAAGATACAKGGGGCTTTTTTTAAACCAAGTTGTCAGACAACTTCCTCTGGTTATTACCTTGATACTCTTACAAAAAAAAGTCAAAAGGTTTGAAAGAATTTAAGGGTCGACTGATATTTAAGAAATGTAGTTTTGGAATATTATATTTTTGTGGTGGTTCTAATMCTGCACAAAACAAACATATTTCTAAAATAATAAGCAAGAGCACTGTACATAATTACAAATGCTAAGATGAATAATACAAATCTGAATATTTAGCTGCAAAAATGGAAAAAGAATGAACTGTAATTCCTGTCCACCAGATGGCAGCAGTTCACATCATCATTTACATCCTTTGATGCTTTTTWAAAATGATTATTTAATTGTAGGAAATGATTTAATGATGCTGTGGTGAAGAAAAAAATCTTTATTATCACATATTTGTTATTACAAAAACATTTCTGCAATCTTTTCAAACCACAATCATCCAAAGTGATTCATTATTTATTTATTTTTTTACAGTTTTTAGGAATCTTTGTGGGAAAATGAAAATCTTTCAACTACATTTCTGCACTGATTTGTTAAAATTCCAAAAATAAACAATGGAAGTTTTCTGATAGTTTAGCCTCTTTTTTTAAACAAATGCTCTCAGAATATCGTTTTTGAGAAAAGAAAAAATTGATCACCTGTGATGAGAACGTTGAAAAACAAAAGCTTAAAACAAAATGTTTATTATTTGAGTCACAGCAATTTCAATACTTAGATTTGAGTTTTTAAGACTGGAAAACTTAATTTAGCAGGTTTCAGCTACAGGAACCTGTATGGTTGCAGTTACTGGTGTGAGGAGCAGGTACTGGTCCAAGATACTGGTCTCAGCAGCAGGTACTGGTCTCAGGTGTCTGTTTGTTCCCTCCAAGCCACAGAGGTGCACTGTCGATCTTGGTGGTCTGGGCCCTGGCTTGCGTCGACTCTCCCTGCATCCCCCCTCCCTCGCTGGCTAGGCGCTTGTGGATCTCGGAGGCCATGGTGAGGAAGGCCTTTTCCACGTTATCAGAGCTCTTGGCGCTCGTCTCCAGGAAGGGGATCTTCAGAGACGAGGCCAGATCCTGAGGAGACCAGAGCACCAATCACAGCGCAGCAACGTCAGAACAAAACCAAAACCACAGAACAAGTCACTAAATTTAATATTTTATTTACAACTAAACTATTTAAACAACTGCAACAGTTTAAAATATCGCAAATAAAGTTTCTACATCCTTTTACCTGAGCAGTGGCAGCATCCACCACCTTCTTACTGACGAGGTCGGACTTGTTTCCGACCAGCAGCCTGGAGACGTTTTCACAGGCGTAACGATCAATCTCATCCAGCCACGGCTTCACGTTGTTGAAGGACTCCTGAAGGAAGAAAACACAAGAATCTTAGAGGTTAATCTGCAAGCAAACCCCCTGTCTTCAAAAGAAAAAAAAAAAAGATACGATAAAATAAAGCCACTGACCTGCTCGGTGACATCATACACAATAATGATCCCGTGTGCTCCTCTGTAGTAGCTGGAGGTGATGGTTCGAAACCTCTCCTGACCTGCTGTGTCCCACTGAGGAGGTTCAGAAATAAACTTCATCAGATGCTTTTAGGAGTCTCTGAGTTTTGTATGTTTCTTATTGAGACYCTGTGTCCTCATACGGGGACATTTCATTTTTGCCCCTCTGCACCATGATACCTATTTTTTATTTTTAAACAAGGACACATTTTTCCTCATTGTAGACACTTCCAGCACCATCTAGTGGTCATTTAAGGGAAAACAAGATGGCGGGGATCTCAGTAAAGAGTTTCTACTGCAACTCTCATCAGAAAAATGGGAAAGGTAAAAACTTCAAATCATGTTTCATGTTTAAAGTAGTCCATGCACAGTTACATCTTTAGTTTCATAAAGCATACGACTTTACCTAACTGCTGCAGTTGTAGTGAAATACAATATTAGTATAGAACAAGTCCTCACTTGAGGACAGTGGGACTATATTTTGTAATGATTGTGCCGTGMAGTTGGATAAACCTGGGAATGTATAGAAGAGTTCACAAATGCAAATAGTTAATGCAAGTAGTTCATTTGTTCAACTAGTTAATTATAGAGGATGTTCTGGTCAAATGCTCTGCGACTTCATGCCTTTGTGTCATGTAATTCCTTAAAGTGAGGATCAGTCTGAAAGTTGTCACTGATTAGTTTTCCTTCTTTCTTTTTTTTTTTGCTTGCTAGTCCTGGTTCACACTCCTTATTGGTGGTAGCGGTAATGCACCAAATGATGATTGCAAATCGCCAAAAAAAAAATAAATAAATAAATAAAAAAAACAGCAACAACAGCTAGAAGAAGAAGTTGTCACTGATGACGATCAACAGCTGATGTGTTGCCAAAATAACCAGGAAAATGGTTCCCCTAGAAATATCATCATAAAGCTTCTCAAGTTTTGCTCAGGTATTCCTCAACAAACGTGACATTTTAGACCTAGTGTCCTCATACGAGGACATTAATTTTTTTTGCAAAAAACAACTTCATGTCCCATGACAGTCTAGTTATTGTACTTATCAAGACCTACCAATCCCATGTAGCTTTGAGAAAGAAAATAAAATACACATCAAACAAAAGCTTGAGTCTCAGGAGGTTAATAAAACTGTGCAACAGCTTTTCTCTTGAAAACATCAGTGAGCCATGAGCTGGATCTGGATTCTTGCATCATAGAGTAGAAAACATGTCCAGGTCTAAAAATTGTAAAGATAATCTGAACGATGACCRAAAAACTGTTTCTAATCTGCCTGTCTTCATTTCTAACGTTCAATTCAGCAGATTAAATCATAAACATTGGGTCACTGCTAATGCAGTCCGAGGGCAATGAAATACGGTGCACAGCCTAAGAAATGGACCTTAATCTTCATAAACTGGTCATTCAAACAACAGCTTCCTGCTCACTTGGTTTTAAACACTCATGTGACCCTCAGAGGAAATTTCTACTTAATTTATTTATTAATTAAGTCAGACAGCACGATAAACTCACAATCTGCAGCTTGACAGTCTTTCCATTCATGTCGATGGTCCTGATCTTGAAGTCCACTCCGATGGTGGAGATATAGCTCTCAGTGTAGGTGTCATCCTGCACCAAGTGGATCACTGTTACACTTTAAAATACAGCATCTTTAAAACAATAACAATAAAAAATAGTTTTAAACATCTCTACCGCAAAGCGCAGCAGCAGGCAGGACTTTCCAACTCCAGAGTCACCAATCAGAAGCAGTTTGAACAGAAAATCACTAAAACAACACAAGAAGTGAAACGGATACTTTAAAACCAAACCAAAGATGTTCAGGATGTTTGAGACTACATTACCCATCATCCACGTTCAATTCAAACATTCTTTATTGATCCCAGAGGGAAATTAGATGTAGTAACTCATTTAACTAAAGAGTTGCTGTAGATGGTGATGGCTGTGGGCAGGTTAAGATCCTCCGTATTGGTCTGCATTACAACCAAACTGAAGAAGCCTCCACCTGAAGACACCTTTTTTTTAAAAAACAATCTCATGAAGAGGAAAAGCATCCCAGTAGGGCAGGGCTATTCTTGACCTGGGGGCCACAGTTACTGCAGGCCTACAGCTGAGGGGCCAAACATCCAGCAATCAAAGTCATTGCGTAATTAAACCAAGTATTACAAAGATCTGTTACCTTTAAAATAGTTTATTTTAATGCATTTAATCATGAATACAACATACAGAACCCTATGAAAGTAGTGATAATTAAACAACAAAAACAAAAAGAACACATGCCTCCTATTTAACACAAATAATATTTTAACATCTCTGACTTGCCAAAATTTTAAAGCAATTTTATTTTCACTTTCATAGTTTTATCTTCAAATGGTTGTAATTTTAACTGTCTTTATTGTTCATAGAAATGTTTTTTACCAGCTTGTAGCCAAGATTCTGATGTTTCTGTAGATACCAAACATGTATGCTGTATGTCCAGCTAAAAGAACTTAAAGTAATTAAAGTAGAAAACCAGGGGTTTAGGCTTAGGAGATGAACGAACCAATTGGTGGGCCGAACTTTGGTCACTTGCGGGCAGGATGTGGCCCGCGAACCACCAGTTGAATAGCCCTGCTGTAGGGCTTCTTCGACTTCCTGTGACCACTTTCTCTTAGTTCTTGTAGTTACATATTGTCTCTGAACAAGTGGTTTATATTCTGGGCAGAGAAAAACAAGGTTGTGATCTGAATTACCCAGAGGAGGTCTTGCTTTGGAGATATATGAATCCTTAACATTTGTGTAAAGCATGAAGCCAACATGGGCCTAGAGATCCAACGACAATGAAACTAAAATCGTTTCTGATGATCAGGTAGCCTGGTTAAAACCAAACCCTTGTTCTTTGCTTTGCTTCGTACGGAGGATCTGGACTCGCCCTGATTGGCTCAGGTAAAATTCTCCTGAAGAAATCCTTGTCTATGGGAGAAATCCCAGACTGAGCAGTGAAGGGAAACTAGAATTGAGCGGAACTGCGTAGGAAGGCAAGGGCCAGGCTAGTGATCAGGTGGTTTTTATGTAAATCCACAGAATCAGGGTATTTTAAATAAGAAAAACTTTAAAGCCTTTTGTTTCAGTAAAAGTTCTGATGGTTGTAGATCAGTTTTATTTGGAGGATTGGAGAATAAAGATGCTGAAGTAACAAAAAGAGGAGTTCAGACTGTTACACATAGTTTTCCACTTTAAAGAGCAACAGAAAGGAGAACTTACTATTCAGGGTTCATGGTCGGCGAGGTCGCTCCGCTCAGCAAAATTAAACAGTTTTTCTACAACTGGACAAACATAAAATCGTATAAACTGTTTGGATCTCGTCTGACGAGCCGGCCCTTCAGAAGAAGAAAGGTAGGTTTGTGCCTCAGGAGCTGATGGCTTCACCTTCATTATTTATTGATGAGGTTCAGCTCGGGTTACACAGAGGACAGCACCTGGAGCCACCTGACCACTGCATGTCACCTGATCAGATGCAGCAACAAACAGGAAGTGGTTCACCCAGAAATGTTAGAGAAGATGGTTTCATCAGATTTAAGAGAGGAAACCCAGACCACCCTCTCCTCATGAGGTGATGTTTGAAGCACCAATAAATCAAGAACTTCTGTTGCTTCTCATCAGACAAAAACAAAAACATAATTTGCAAATATTGAAAAATTAATGTGGCATTTCGTTTTTTTCTTTCTCATCCATCAATTGTTTGGTTTTCGGTAGGAGGTGCACCTGGACCAGTTCTGCTGTGTTTGTCTGTGTCTCTTTCCTGTCCTCCAATCAGCCGGTCGAGGCAGATGGTCTCCTGTCCTGAGCCTGGTTCTGCTGGAGGTTTCTTCCTGTTTAGCAGGGAGTTTTTCCTCTCCACCGTTTGCTCAGGATGGGAGACTGTGATGAAGTGATTCAACACAATCTGCTGGTTTCTTCTTCAGATTGTTCTTTTTATGTACAGTGCCCTGAGACAACGAATGTTGTGACTTGGCTCTATAGAAATAAACTGAATTGAATTGTATTTTCCTTTACTACTGGCTCTATTTTATCTTTCTTAACTAAAATGCAGGGGTTTATAGTAACTAAGTACATTTGTTACAGTACTAAAGTAGTTTTTTTGAGGATTTGCAATTTTACCAATAATATTTTTAAACAGCTACTTTTACTTTCATTTTGTTACATTTTTAAATCTAAAAATGATACTTATACTTTAAACTGTAACACCTAGTTAATTGTTACAAATTAAATATGTTGGAACTCATCATGAAAGAAGATACAGTATTTCTGCTCTGATAAAATGAAGTGTTGAATTTACTCAAAGTTATTTCATCTGGCTCCACTAAGCCAAGTTAAGTAAACTGAGCAAAAATATACAAATATCACTCAATTTACTCAACCTGGCTTAATATAGCTAGTTTGGTTCAATAAATTCAACAGTTTTTTCTTAGAAAGTGCGTAAAAGTACTTTTACGTCCCCAATTTTTGTGAACAGTTTTATGACTTACTTGAGTAGTTTTCTCATCAGTGAAATTTATATTTTCCAAAGTCATTTTCTGTTCATGTAATTTTACTTTTACTTACTGGTAGTTATCTTTTTCAAGTACTTTAGAGACCTGTGCTAAAATGAGTCTGGTTTCTTCTCTCCTCTTCCTTTTCTCCCTGAAGTTTATTAATTCAACCTTTGTTTTGCTTTTCTTCTCCTTTTCTCCTCCTCTCTTTCTCTTTCTGGTGATTTAGTTTTGTTTGTGTCAGCTCCCGCACGTGACCTTTTGGTCACGAGAACGAGCCGATAGCGGGAGGATGGAGGGGACCTGCGATGACTGGGCAGCTGTGCTGGGGTCAGAGGTCGGCAGCCCTTACCATGGCCTGTTGCCAGAGCRGAGGCGGCGCCGCAGCGGTTGCTAGGGCGGCAGCAGGGTTTTCTGAGCTCCCGATGCCACACAGAGGTGGGAAAACTGGGGGAAGGGATCGAGAGAAGGAGGCGAAGTGAGGAGAAAGAAACTACAAAGACATGAGGTTAGAAAGCTAGAAGAAGGCTGGGAACATTAAAAAACTGTGACACAAAATAAATATTGTTCTGCCTTCAATGGTTCTCTTCACAATGAGATTGTTGTTGTTGTTTTTATAATGACTTTCATTTAGCGAGTAACTGTTCACAAAACCTTAATTTTTCATTATTTAGCTCACTGTTCTTACATTTAGATAATTTAAATGTTAGAAAATATATTTAAATATTAAATCCTAAATCTAAATGTAAAAATTAAACCTTTCATGCTGAAGTTCACATTTAGGTATTTCAGAATGGAACGCAGCCTTTGCTGTTGGTGCTCGGCTCATGTTATGACGTCATCATCCTGAGACAATAGCAACTGTTAGCTCCAATGTAGCTAAAACTTCCCTACAAGCAGAGGTAAAGAACTTGAAAAAAATAACTAAGTAAAAGTAAAATTACATGAACAGAAAGTGACTTTTGTAAAAATAAATTTTACTGATGAGAAAACTACTCAAGTAAAAGTCATAAAACTGCTCATAAAAATTTGGAAAGTAAAAGTAAAAGTACTTTTACACACTCTCTAAGATATAAACTGTTGAATTTACTGAACTGAGTAATATATGTATATTTTTTGCTCAGTTTACTCATCTAGGTTCAGTGGAGCCAGTTGACATAACTTTGTTGAGTAAATTCAACACTTCATTTTTTAGAGCAGAAACATCTTTCATGATGAGTTCAAACATATTTAATTTTGTAACAAGTAACTAGGTGTCACAGTTTAAAGTAAAGTAAACATATTTTAGCTTTAAAATGTAAAAAAAACAAAAGTAAAAGTAGCTACTTAAAAATGGTGAAATTACAAATCCTCAAAAAAAACTACTTAAGTACTGTAACAAAGTAAATGTACTTAGTTACTATAAAGCTCTGCCTAGAAGACATCAAACCTGCAGTTCTGGCT